TTATTTGTAACTTTGTAAAATGTCCTGGTATCAAATGTGATGAAAAGCATGGTATTTTAAATAAATACTCCTCCTCCTCAGCCATGTAAAACAGTTACCTACATCTAGCTTTTCAATGTACCTAAAGATTAATCATGTGGAAATTAAATAGCATGCACATGAGCCCAAAATTCTGGATGTTTTCAGAGAAATTGTATGTATTGCGGGAACACTGTAAATATGGATTTCAGAGCTATGCATACATAGTCATGAGCTACATTTATTACCATTTAAAACAACAATCCCGGCAATATTTTTAAAAGCATGCTAAATCAGTTGAATATAAAATGGACAAGAACACAAGGTACTGCCAGATTCTCAATGCTAGGTAGAAAATGACTTCAGCAACAGGCTTGCACCAGACACTCAACAGACTACAGCTATAATAGTAAGTCTGAATGCTATTAAAATATACCACAAAGCACTGGCTTAATGGAGAAGCACAAATTGAGGTGCCAACTTCTATCAGGCTTTAAGGCAGGAGAAATTGTACTACAGCCCTTCTAATCACAAGAGGATGTTCTTGAGCAGACAGCTGAGAACACAACTACTCCTCTCACAGAATGAGAACAATGCTCTACTTCTGTACACCTGAAAATTTCTAGCTGCTAATCAGGGACTATTACCATGCATTATATAATGGAAGAACTGAAATATTCTAGTGCACTGTAATTATCAGCACTACATCTGGAAGCAACTAATTTTAAGGGAGCATTAAAGGAAAAATGATTTTTAAAAACTGCATGAGACAGCTGGATAAGAAATTCATCCTTACAAGATAACATACTGTTATTATTCTAATATCAACAAAACCCCCAGAACATTGCCATGTTACATTACAGAGTCTGCTCAAGCCATATATTAATACAATACTTCTAGACTGCTATAATAGTAGCATGGAACACTGAATCTAAAAACTATCAGTCAAAGGGAGGTGAAAAAAAAAGGATGTATGCAAAGTTTTGGTACTACAGTAGAAAACAATATATTTAGCCACCTATAAGACAATCTGATAAAGCCATAAAATGACATGTTGAGTCATTTGTTCATTGAGTACTAATCTGAAGTATAACAACTACACACTACAGCAATTTTTATGGTGTTATTCTACAGCTATACTGAAAATAAAAAAAAGACCATTTTTATTAAGTAAAACTATTTTACAGGAAATTTTCCTGTTGTGTCAGCCAACATCCCAAACAGTCTCAGTCATTCACAAGCTGCCTGCCAGGAGTAGAATCAATATCTTCATAAGGGAGAGAATTTATTTCTGTAATGTAGGCACAGAGATATACCAATAAACATTCCTTCAGCAAGAGGCAGAAACTTTGAGAGTTTTTAAAAACAAAGGAAAGCTCTGAAGGCAACAGAGGTAGAACGTGCGTTACAGGGCTAGGGATGATAGTGAGCTAGGAACAATCTCCTTCACCCTTTGAATAACTTTCTAGAGACTTTCCAGGGAGAATTTCAAGTAAACTGAAAGAGAAGAAATAGTGTCTTCATGGATCATTTAGTTTTGCAGATATACCTAATGTCTGGCTAGAAACTGCAATAGGATTCTTTAATTTCTTTCTGTCCTAAGTATCCTTATTTTTCTGTACAACTATGGGGAATTGGATGCTTAATGTCACCTTTAATTCAACTATACTTCACACTGAGCATGAAATTATTAATTTTATTTTAGACTCTCTTGTAATCTATTATTAAAGTAGCTCCCATATCCTAAAGGAGATTGCACTAATTATAGCCCACCAATGCTATCATGTAGCCTATATGGAACACTGCATGTACTTCTGTAAATGTCTTGCAAAGTTAAAAAAGGCTTTTACAAATGTTCATTTCTTTTTTTAACAAAGTTTTGTTTTGTTTATCTCTTGTGACATTGATCTATCTCCCAATGAAGGGCTGTATCCTCTAGTCATGCACCTATATGCTACATAGCCAGGAGATTGCATTATAGAGATTATTTCATTTTTCCATATTTACTTTTTTTAATTGACAATAAGGCAGCACACAATGAGGTTAGGAGAAAGGTGCCAGATGAGATGCCCTCTGGAACACATGTGGTGGCAGTAGAAACTACTAGGAACTACTGCAAAAGTGAGAAAGAAATCCAAACTATAAAGAATTCTGAACTAGGAAAAGAGGCTTTAGACTACCAGCTTTCCACTATATGGGCTCAACTACAGTGCTACAGTTCTATAGCTATATTCTATTCTCTTCTTATCACCTTACTATTTTTTTAAAGTTAGTATGCAAATTATTTTTTAAGTTTATGGAACAAACCAATTTATAAATACCATTCCAATAATTATTTGTATTTCTTGTAGAAACTATTTTTATTCTACTGTTGTTACTACTTTTCTTGTCAAAACAAAAGGAAGGAAGGAAGGAAGGAAGGAAGGAAGGAAGGAAGGAAGGAAGGAAGGAAGGAAGGAAGGAGGAAGATGCAGCTCAAAGCACAGAATCATATTCTTCAGACTTTCTATTTTAGATATAGTACATAGCTGGAACAACATATCCTCAAATTACACAGCAGTATGGATAAAAATTAAAGCTTTTCATGATCAAATGTGTACATATGACAGACATTTATATGTGCATGTGTATATACACACTATCCAGAGACACATTCAAGAAAAGGGCAAAGCCAAGACAAAAAAAATTAAATATTAATGTAATTAATACACTATTTAAAACTGCCTATAAAATGGTACAGGATTTGCAAAATTAACTGATCTGTTTTCTAAATATATATACAATCCATTGTCATACATAATAATTACTGTTTCTCTCATACATGTATTACTTACACAGAGAAATAAACTATGGTTATCTGTGATCAACAAATCAACCTATGTATGTTTAACAGTGTAACTGAATTCAAAGGTTCAGGGAGGGGAGGGGAGGGGAGAGGAGAGGAGAGGAGAGGAGAGGAGAGGAGAGGAGAGGAGAGGAGAGGAGAGGAGAGGAGAGGAGAGGAGAGGAGAGGAGAGGAGAGGCAGCCAGACAGATAAGTTACATGCCAACAGCTGAGGGGAGGGGAGGGGAGGGGAAAAGAAAGGAAAGGATTGGGAAGATCAGGAAGTGGGTTGGTGGATATGCAATGCTAGGTCACTGGTGGCAGCTAAGTGGAGGAACAAAGGGAAAGCACTAAGGGAACATGAAAGGAATATGCCATGCTGAGATACTGACAATGGTTGGGGAAAGAAGGAAAGATATATAATTTTAGCAAAAGTCTGTATTTTGGGAACATTATTTCCATTTCCAGATATTCCTCCCTCCCCTAACATGCAGAGGTATTTCCTACTACTTCAGGATACTTTGGTGGAAGATGAAGAAAACATCTCAGCAAAGAATACTGAAGGAAGGTGTAACTTCCATGAGTGCCCTTTTTTTGTAGTTTAAAATAACAAGGAATTCAGTATGAGCAATCACTTACAATTAAGACCAGCATGTTTCTTCATCTCTTCTTATAGTAGACTGGCTAATTAATCTGTAACTAGACCATGTTCCTCTCTGTCTTCTGTTATATAATATATTCACTGCAGTGACCATATTGCTGCCCAGGTTTCAGTTAATGTAAAGAAAGACAATGCATTGACTAAACATTCCCAGTAGCCAGAGTGGGGCATCTTAGGTCTCATATATTTCAATGTGAAGGATTTTAAAATCTATCCTTTATTTGGATTAAGGCCCCTGATCTCTACTATTTTAGTAGATTAATTGTCCCTATTAAGCAACATTTGATGCTTTGGTCACTTATTTGCTAAACATACTGATGCCAATATCTTTAGTTTTTCCTTTTGTCTTAGATCCAATATTATCATTAAAAATCCTTATAATATTTTGACATTTTGTCTTATAACTACAGGCTGCATTAGACCATAATAAATCTTTGGTAAAGTTTTAGTTGAAAGGAATAAAATTATAATCAATATCTAAAAGGTAAATATTTTGATATATTTAGAAAAGTCACAATTTCATGTAATTATTACATTTAGTGTCTTATATCTGGAGATGTGCAGAATTCAGATTCAAAGAAGCAACAGACAGGTACCAAAAGACACCCACATAGAATCCAAAGCACCCTTGCATGCTTTGGATCCAAATACTGCACACCTCTACTTCTATGAGAGCAAAGGCAATTAGATTACACATACAACATGGGTGATGAAGTTCATTAATTTTGTCATTTACTAACCTTTTTCGTTGTGTGGATTTCTTTTTTCTAGAGAGAAAAAGAAAATAAAGTCAAGATAAAAAACACTTAGGTATTCTTCACACATAATAAACATGGAAACATATTAAGGTTAAATATTGACTTGTTCATTTCAATACATGAGATATCAAGATCACAGTTTAACATTTTCTACTATACTAGAGTCTCTCTCTCTCTCTCCCCCCTCCCCCTCCCTCCCTTCCTTCCTTTCTCTCTCTCTCTCCCCCCTCCCCCTCCCTCCCTTCCTTCCTTTCTCTCTCTCTCTCCCCCCTCCCCCTCCCTCCCTTCCTTCCTTTCTCTCTCTCTCTCCCCCCTCCCCCTCCCTCCCTTCCTTCCTTTCTCTCTCTCTCTCCCCCCTCCCCCTCCCTCCCTTCCTTCCTTTCTCTCTCTCTCTCCCCACCTCTCTCCCTCTCTCTCTCCCTCTCTCTCTCACCTTCTACTAATAATCTAATACTAGATATACTAGATATGATGTATCTACTTTAATCTGATAATAGACAAGAACAGTTTGCATCCAGGATGGCACATTCTATTTGCATTTTACAGTAAGGGTCAATTCCCCTAGAACATAGGTGAAGTTATTATGTTCAACAAAATGTCCATTTCTTTGGCATTTACCACTCAACCTGGCAGGATTAAACACTCACTTTTAGAACATAAAAATAGTTTTTAAGAACTACTGTTAGAAGACACATTTTAACCACAATATGCCCAAATTAGACTGGTAACAAATATATGTATTTACTTAAAAAGCAGGTAACTAAGCAACCAATAAATAGTACAAAGTCCTTAATAATAACCTCAAAGTTGGGAAGACAGATTATTCTAGCTACATGGTCTGATACTTAGAATCCAAACCTATCAACAGATAATTTCAATTTAACATCTCAATCAGAAACTTAATTTATTGAGATGGCTTAGTCTAAAAAAATACAGACATTTACAATAATAAAAGTTTCTAAATGGTGGTTGGCTTTATTTTCAGAATTTATACTATGATAGATAGTTAAAATAAACATCTTCATAATTAGTTTTAACACTAGCAAATACTATTTACATTATCTAAGTTTCCTATGTTGCGAATGTATTTATTTTAATATATATGCATATGCATCTATACAAAATATTTGCTTCCCATTTTGATTTAAAAAATAATCCTCATAATCTGCCACTGAACTTTTTCTTCTAAAAATGGGTGCATAATCTGCAGTCTCAGATTTGCATATGGCCTCCTTATTGAACTGCAGTGTAACATGACAGAAGGGGAAAATTATTAAATACATATAATCATATTAACAGTACTTTACTTAGAACTTACCTAAATGTAAATGCAATAAATGTAAATGAAGTAAACTTAAATTTTGTCTAACTCAACCTACTTCATTCTGATTCTATCCACAGGTCAAATGTCTACCCACCCAACAACAGCAACAAAAAGATTATATAGTCTTGCTTTAAATATGTGGTAAGACTCTAAAAATCATAGTGGAAAATCAATCAAATGTGTGATATTATATATTTTCATTTATAGCATATTTTAAAACCATTTCCATTAAATGGAGGCTTATATTGCTGTAGGACTGTGATAAATCTGAACTAAAAATCTCTGCTGTGAATAACATATTGAATAGGCCGGGGTACTGGATTTAGACTTACAAATTTAGAAAAATCTAGAACTACTGCACAGCTGCACACCTTAAATGTTTATTTATTCCCTGTTTTTATTCACCGTATATAAGATAGTAAAATAATGACCACTTACTGAGATCACAAAAACACAGGGTCAAAAGCACCTTATATATTCAAGAATTTAAAACAAAACTGTAGGAAGCAGGAGTTGAAATTATTTGTCACTATCACTCTAAATATTCTATTCTTGAAGTTATGGCTGGGACAAAAATATTCTTCTATTTACTACAGCAGCTACAACACAAACTTTAATGTTAATGAGCATAATTAAAGTCTGCCTTAGTGAGTCCAATTTTCTAAAACAATAAACTGAACACTAATGTCGCTCTGCCATAAGCTGACAAGTTCAAGGGCATTCCACATTCGGTAGTCTTCAGTGAGTGAAGGCTTGATTGGTGCTTGTGCAGAAATGTCGTTTTTATACACGTTGGGGATTGCTTCAAGAAACTTGAGCAAACAAATGAAGCACCAGGATGAGGAGAATCTGGTTTCATGCACACACAGAAAGAAACAGATAACCACACGTAAACTCCAAAGGAATTGTTGCCAACTGATTATTTTAAGGGAGAAAAAAAATCCTCAAAGCCAATTTTATACTGCACTTACCAGCAAAGCATTTGGAACACAGATTCATTGTCTTGCTGGACCTGGTGCAAGGGGGAAAAAAGAGGAGAGCTTAAAAATTCTTCATAGTTATTAATACAGAAGTTTAAAGAGTAGAGTAAGCTGAGAAGGTAAAAGACAGCAGAGCAAAAACTTTGATCAGCTATCTGGATCAATGACTCAGAAGCTGCCCTAGTAAGCCTAAGAAAACATTGGATCAGCCACTTCCAAAGCACTTCCTTCCTGCACAGTTAGTTAGCAGCACAATTTTCTTGAAATGTACCAATGGACTTTGCTGCTAATGAATATTCAACAAATGTAAGAAAGATTGTTGGGCAGAGGACTCTCACTCTACACTTTGCATTTTTCCCTTCTAAGAAGCTAAATGAAATGACCAGGAATAAGACCGTTTGTCTCTAGTTGCCCCTTTTTTAACAAATAAAAAGGAAAATAGCTGCTAAAGTCAGAATAAATTCCTCAGAAAAGAACAAAATACCCAGTATATTTTTATAAATTTCCTTTCAGTACCAAGATTACAGGGCTGATTTAACTTACTTAAATGTTATAGCTCTCCATATGTCTAGAATATCTATGCCCAGGAGCAAGCACCTTATAATAATGTACTATACCCACAGCAGGAACTCAAGTGGGTTAAAAAGACGTTTTATAGTTCTGTAGAATTCTATTAATCTATTACCCCAAAACAATTTCAGAGTGCATCTGTTTTTCCAGCTATTACCATTATGTCACAATAGTTCTATTACAATATATCAAATGCATGGAAAAAGGATATATTCATATTGGCTGCTTCATATTAACCTTTTCAATTTTTAATCATTAGAGTACATGATTCTGACTGTCTTCTTTTTCTAGCTTTTATTTCTAAATGAAAGGCATCTCTTATCATCATAGCTGAAACTAATTTAAAGCTAGAAACTGTACAATAAGATTGCACGATGAAATCTCAGAAATTCAAGTTTTTTACTACTCCTCCTAGTTAGGTAAAATAGCTATTGTGTCCTGAACAACCATTTTGTCTTATCACTAGCAAAAGCAAATTATGAAAACAAATAAGTTTCTTAGTATGCCAACTGCAAATCTTTCTCTGCAGTATGATTGTATATTTTTATTTGCCTGGATGGTTAAAGTAAATAAAATGAATTTACACCAGATTGGATTTACTTTACACAGCAAAAAATAAGGGCAAAATGTGTTTTATACATATTGAAATGCTGGAAAAAGAACATAGTCAGATATTCTTAAAAAGGGAAATTAAGACTAGGGCTTTGTAATGGGGGGGCGGGCAGTGCCATTAAGTAGTGTATGTGCACAAACAAAAAAACACTTTATTAATAATTTGCACATTAGATTAGCAGGCTAAATCAGCATCTACTTCATTAGTGCCTTTTGCATAGAAGTTACTGCTGAAATAGCTCATTATACTGTATTGGAGTTTCCTTGCCCAGCAAAGAGAGAAAAGGCAGAGTTCAATCAGTTCATGCTAAATTTATTCTTTTAGATATAGAAGTAGGACAATTCCAAGTTTTACTAGTATTTCTTCAAATCAAGGAAGGGAAAAAAATTAAGAAAACCATGGCAGGAAAACCAGACTACCACACAACTACTCTCTCCAAAATTTCTCTTAAGATAAAGCAAAGTTTAAACTCTCCCTAAGCTGCAAATCCAAATGGCCATACAGTTATATGAAAACGGGAACCATACAGTTATATGAAAAAGAGAAAAACAACTTAAAACAAACATAAAGCATGATGTGAATGAACAAATTATAAATAACAATAATTTCTAATTTAAAATTTATTTCAGATTTACAATTAAAATCAGAAAATGTTATGTAAATTGATATACTCTTAACACTGTATTTCAAGAAATACACATTGAAATTCTACTGCAGTTGAGCAAAATATTCATATACTGAATATTCAGTAACATTTCCATGATGAAAAATAGCATTTATACAGTTTGCCTCCTACTGGACCAACTAAAGACTAACTTTATGCTTTAAATTGTTACCAATCAATATTCCTTCATATTAATATTTACTACATTATTAAATCATAGAAAGGTAAGAAAAAAACCCTCTATACTTAATACACCACTCTACTGTTAAACTGTGAATAACTTCTGTTCAGCAACTTCCATTTATGCTAGTTCACACAAGAACTAGATGATAAACTAATGTTTAGACTGTACCACTTGCCTGCAAATAAGAATTCATGATGTATTATTCCTCTGTACAATAAAGCTCTAACTATATATAAAAGTTGTTATAGAACTAAGTGTTCTTACTTAGTCTTTTTCATAATAAAAAGTCTGTAAGTTTAGACATAAGTATGCTACTTCATTGCCTGAGATAAATAGATCTGCAGCCCTGAAATCTAGCTACTGTGTTAAAAAGATACTGACCTTTGAAGTAGATTGGTTTCATGAACAAGGAATCTGAAGTGCCATTCAGAATGCTGTCATTTCTTTCTTACTGAGGAAAGGTTCAAGGATTCTTTGCACCTTGCATTTTTTCTATATTGTGTATCAATACAGATTATGTACATTAGACAGGCAATACATTGCTCTTTACAAATACTTTAAAAATGACTATAGTTTATCTAAAGACCAAGAGCAAAACTATTGTCTGTTTTGATCCATTTGTCAATTTCTATTGACTATTGTCATAAATCTCACTCAAGGCACAAATGATCAGGCTCAAATCATCCTATTTCAGATGCATTATGCAAAGACCTAGCTCTCTGGAAAAGTCTCTAATTCTGGGAAAGGTGGAAGAAAAGAGAAGAAGAGGATGACCAGCCACAAGGTGGATGGACTTGATTACAGGAGCACTGGGTACACCATTGAAAGACTACAAGACCAGGTTAGGGACAGATTGTCACAGAGAAAATCTATCTATTTGGCTGCTGACTTGATGGCACATAATCTATTTTCATTAAAGAAACTGCTGCATTCTGTATTTACTTCTTGATTTGCAAAATGTTTAGATATACCAATAAACAGATGTGCAATATTTATTATTTTTACATATTACAATTATGAGGGTTGCCAAATAATTTAATCAATAAATTGAGATTGCAGTTGCTGTGTCATGATGTAATGAAACATGCATAGCAGTAATTCTAGTTTAACTAACCTTTAGACATTGCAAAAGGACCACAGATCAATTTTAGTCCTACAGCCATAACATCAAACTAAAAGATTTAGAAGGAAAGTAAGTTCAGAAAAGAAGAAGAAAGCATTATTTAAATATAGTCAAGTGTTGGGGAATGTATATGAATGCTCTATGTGGGCCACTTATATATTAAGCTGTGCAGACTCTGTTTCAAAGGGAAAAAGGCGATTTGGAGCATACATGGATGCCCACACTGCAGCTATCATCACCTGCTTAAATCAAACATATTTTTTCCTGGGATCAGGTAGTTGTAGCCAATTCAGATCTATTCCCTTTCCACATTTAAACCCTGACTGCAAGGAATTCAGGTAATCTGCTTACTCCAGGATTATTTGCAACTATATTCCAACCACCTTTTCTAAAAATTTTCCCTAAAATGGGGAAGTTATTGCTGCTCCTTCTTTGCTCCTTCAAATCAGGAAGTCTGCACAGTCTTAATACACATGAATATTGTGCATGAACGATATTCATAAACAAAGTGTCATTTTTATTCTTCTATTCATATTTATAATTTAAATATTAAAATATATGACAGAGTTTGAAGAGGGAATTAAACACCATTAAATACAAACAAAAACACATTTCCTCAAGCTTAAGATGAGGAATGAATATGATCAAAGACAGGTATGAGCCTACAGTTGTGTGAAAAACAAAAGTACATCCTCTTTGAGTTCTATGGTTTTATGTATCAGGACATCATAAAAATCATCTGGTCCTTAGCAGTTCTCAAAAGTAAGTAAATACAACCTCAGAGGAACAACGCCACATGACATATTACACCATGTCATCATTTATTTTACAAAAAGAAAGCCAAAATGGAGAA